AATCACCACAAACTTGGAACTTTGAGAGAATAGTAATCACCTTCTTGAAATCGGCCCTCTTACTTTACTCACCACAACTCGTGTGATTTCAAGAACCAAAGCCTCCTTTATATAGTGTGGTGGATTAGGGTTACATCCATGTAAACCCTAATACCCATGTCTTTTCATTTCCATGAGATCCATGGGTTAAAGCTTCATGGAGTATCCATGGACTTTCCATGCAAGCCTAGCCCATTCCAAATAAGCATTAGCCCACACTATATAAATACAAGAGCCCATATTTAATTAGTCATACTTTTGATCTCTAAATTAATTCTAGATTAATTATAGATCAATACTAATTAAATAATATGATTTTATATTAATATATTAGGACTTATAATATATTAATAAATCATAACTTATACTATTCTCAAACAATTATCCATAAATTGTTCGGGTGAAGTGCAACCCAAATAGACCATGCCGGGTCGGGTCAAGTACATACCAAATATAGTTATGGACTTAGACACTATATCCAACAACCTCTGCATCTTCTGCAGATGAGCAGTGACAGACTCTCCGTCTCTCATCTTGGTCGTGATCATCGAAGTGATGATCTCGTACCTCTCCTGCCTCGCACTTTGGTGATACCTTTCAACCAAGTCCTGATGCATTTCGTAGGGATAGTAGTCCTCGTAGGACTTTTGGAGTTCAGCAGTCATGGTCGCTAGCATGATGCAATGGACTTTCGTGACATCATGCTCATGGGCCTCAAAGGCAGCGATCTCCTCGGGAGTAGCAGTGTTAACGTTCACCTCCTTGAGCTCCTTGTCGGGGACATATTCCTTGTCCTCATAGCGGGTAACCATTTGTATGTTCCGGATCCAATCATTAAAATTGGTCCCATTGAAGATCACCCTCCCACACAAATTCATGAGTGAGAATGAGCCGGAGGCGTTTGACCCTGAAGCGTTGTGGTTTGAGTTCGACATCTGAAAAAGAAAAGAGACAAAGTTAGATAAGAATCCCCAATTAAACACCCAAATGAGAAATTAGGGCTAGGATCCAACAACATTATTTTCAATTTAGAAGAGGGATGTCGTAATCTAAACAACAAATAATATGAAGGTAAGTGAATGACGATTCACTAATTTCCACCATGAAAAACAAAAGAGATTTAAGTTTTAAATGTATTGAAAACTCCTAGATCCTTTGAGATTCATTGAACTTTTTAATGGCATGTTTAAATCTCGATGTGCCCCTCAAGTTTGTGACTGGGATACCGAGGATCACAAACAGGGTGTGAATAACCATGCAAATATACATGGTGCCCCCAATGTTACAGTCACCTAATCGATGTGCCGGTTAACCACACACGCTCCATCGATCTATGACAAACATCGAGTCACCCTTTGCCACCTTTTCTTAGAGCCAAATTAGTGTGTCGGTTAACCACACACGCTCCACTAACGTCTTAGCAAGGGTATAAAGTGTAATTTCATGGAATAGCATCAAATTCACATTTTGCCTAAAGTAACTAAGATTGGGAATTTTTGTAAAAACATTTAGTTACTTTATTAATCATTATACTTTTAATGAGGAATTAGGTTGCCCTATCCTACCCGTTCGGCTAACGACCCTCCACTAGTCAAGGGTGCAGTGGGTAATAGTGGATACCGAATGGCGGTCATTTTACAGGCCGCTTCCTTAAACATACCTTATAGACCAGCTTCGTGAATGAGGCCTACTAACGGTAAGACTAGCATTTATCTTATACATATATAATAATTATTCTTATAATATTATAATAGTATAGGGTGAATTTTAAACTTGTAAAATTCTAGGGTTTGGAATTTACTAATTTCAAAATTAAACTTTTAATCCAAAAATTTTAATTCCAAAACTTTGAGGGCAAGTTTTGAAACATTTCAAAACTATCTAGATCAAAATTCCAATAAACAATTAAACAATTAATTTTGATGATTATCTAATTTTGACCTAATCCATTTTTCATGCAAGATAATGATCAAATAAATCAAATAATTAACATTTATCATATAAGGAAATAATTATTTAATTAATTTGAAATTATCTTTTATTTTGGTAAGGACAATCACACAATATCAATAAAATTCGTATTTTATCAATTAAAAACATTTCGGTAATTATCCCACAACAAAACAGGCATAAAATCCCGAAAATCCCTCTGTCTGACAGCCCGACTCGCCGAGTCCCCTTATGGACTCGTCGAGTTCATCCGACTCGGCGAGCCCACTTTGGGACTCGACGAGTCTGTCAGGCAGAACACCAAAAAATCGATTTTCCAAGCATGAATGACATACAAAACATCAAATACAACAGAAACCAATCAAGGCTCTGATACCACTTATAGGTTTAGAGCAAAAGAACAATCATATGTGCTCATGCAAAACCCTAAAGCTTGAATCTAGGTTTCTCTATTGTACATGCAATTCATCCAAGACTTGAATACCCTAATCTAGCATACATTGAAATCGAGATCTATAACAAAACAAGTTTAGATGATACCTTTCAATAGTTTCTAGGATCTTCAATCTTCAAGAAGCTTAGTGTCACAAGTGTAACACCTCTAATGGCTCACAAACACCACAAGCAAGAGGATGATCTAGAAGAGAGAAGGAGAGAGGCTAAATTTCGGCTATATTAACTCTAGGGTTTCTTAGTGTCGCGGAAACAGAAGCCCTGGGGTCCCTTATATAGCTGAGCAGATAGGGTTTAAGTCAAAACCCTAATTGGATGACTTAGGCCCTAAGCAGCTTGAGAACCTTCTGGAATAAGGCCTCATTGGACGAAATTAGAGTGGGCTTCCACTCCTAATTTCGTCCCCCTTATGCCCATGAGGATTCATAGCCCAAAACCAACTATCACACAATTGACAGTTTAACCCCCCCTGTATTTAATTAATCTCTTTTAGCCACAGAATTAATTCTTAATTAATTATTGACTAATATTAATTAAACTATATGATTTCTCCTTTAATATATTATTCATATAATATATTAATAAACCATAATAACCTCTCTCTCTCCACAAACCATCCTGTCAAGTTGCTTTGGTGAAGGCAACTCAAAAGGACCATGCACAACCGGGTCAATTACATACCAAATATAGTTACGGGCTTAGACATTAATCCAACAGTTAAGCCTTGGTCTCTATCTGTTAAATAGGTGACCTGTACAGTCGGTATTTGGAGCAGTGTATTGTTCAACTTTTCGTCAGACTGTGAGGTGAGTTTTCCTCACTGTACTTATGGGTTGAAGGCACCAATGCCGACCCATTGGATTAGATATCCTGATTTGTTGTATGCTGTTATGAGGAGTTATGTGGTATTGGTTATGTGATTAGATTGGTAAATCTGTAGGACTGCTTGTGTTATCTGTTATTGATTGATAATGTTATGCATTGATATGTTATGGTTTACTGGGTTGAGGCAAACCAGTGGTTAGACTGAAGGCCAAGATACCCAACGCGATCTGGATAAACCGAAGGCCTACGAGACAGACCAATCAGGCCGAAGGCCCAGAGAGCAGTCCAGATAGGATGTAGGCCCGGTGAGGCGGTCCAGTCATGTTGAAGGCTCTGTATGCATGTTATTGTTTGTTATGTTTATGTGGTGGTACCTTGGGGGAAACCCAAGGCGAAGGCGTGATTGTACACATCCTTGGTTTTATGTTGTTGATCTTGGGAGACTCTGATTTTGAATAATGTTTTTGGAAACAATGGTTATGTAAACACTTCTTTTTAGTAAATTAGTTGTTTTGAAAATTTTAAATTTGTTGTAATTTTTGATATGTTACATTATAATTGGGTATACTTTGAAAAGGCTACCAATTATAGCATTGTACTTTCAAAGTACAATGCTTTTAATAAGAAAAAAGTTAAAAAGGTTGAAAGGATAAAATAGTCTACCACTACTTTTTTTTTGCTTCAGTTTGATGGCAGGTGAGTAAATAGGGTTGGTGAATAGAATTTGATGGTGTCGTGAAGGCTGTGGTGATGATGATGAAGGTCGATTACAATTGACAGGTAGGTGCTCGGTGATGGCTTTTGATGGTTGTGTGTGATGAAGAAGGTAATGGGTTGTTGCATGTTAATTGTGAAGATGTTCCGTATGTGTGTTTCTGTAGATTAGCAACATTTTTTCATTCATATGTTCAAGAACCAAAATAATTATATATATTATTTCATGTAAACCTTGTATGGGGTGTGATGTTCGACCAAATTATTGGCCATTAATTTTAATGCAATATTAGGTTGTTTAGTTTACATTGTACTTTTTTTGTAATATTGGGTGTAATGTTTATATTTAGCATCCTACTTTGATGAGAAAAAAAAATATTTCACATGTATGATGTTCATTTGTAGCATCCTACTTTGATGGAATTTTTTCAAAGGTATGATGTTGTAATTGAAAGAAATGATGCAGAATGGTAAAATTGTCATTTTTATCTTTCAGCCCAACAATTCAGAGGTTCTAACCAAACGGTGTGTTAAAATTCAGACATTTTAGAAATTCAGACCTCTTAAAAATTCAAGATTACGCCAAAGAGTCATTAGCTTATATTTCTACCACTCCTCCTTAAGCTAAGACATATAGATCGAACACACATCTTGAAGCAACCAAACTATAAGATCATTCATCATTCATCACAAGTCTTGACTTTTCCATGGAGTTTGATCCAACAAAATATATTTTAAAATATTAATGTCATAACTTGATAACGAAATACTATCTTTTTTACAAAACGCGTTTATTCAAAAATAAAAATACTATCAAAAGGTAATCAACTTGAACTTTACGTTCACAAATTACCATTATTTAAACGGTATTTTTGAGCAGAGTCTAATAGTTTGTTACCTACCTATTTATGATATTTTGTTTTAACAAAAGTATTTAGTAAAATTAAAAAACAAACAGTGGCTTCCATCTATGACATAAACCCACATTACACCTTTCCCTTCCTTTTTTACACCAAAAGCCAAGGGATGGCAATACCCATATGGAAGCCTAGAAACCAACGCTATAACCAGCTTATAAAATAAAGCTCCGCCACACAACATGAGCAACCACAACAAAATGTCTATATACATGGAGAAAATACAACATAAGAATATAAAAGTAAATGGCATCAACATGCACGTGGCTGAGATCGGAGAAGGCCCTGCTGTGCTTTTCGTCCATGGCTTCCCGGAGCTCTGGTACACATGGCGTCACCAGATGCTGTATATATCCTCTAAAGGCTACCGTGCCATCGCGCCTGACCTTCGTGGCTTTGGAGATTCGGAGGCACCACCTTCCTCCACCAGCTACACGGCCTTCCACATCGTCGGAGACCTGGTGTGCTTGCTTGACTCGTTGGGGTTGGACAAGGTTTTCCTCGTGGGTCACGACTGGGGTGCTATAATCTCATGGTACCTGTGTCTTTTCCGGCCAGACCGGATCAAGGCTTTGGTTAACATGAGTGTCGTCTATAAACCTAGGAATCCGTCCGTCAAACCTGTAGACCTCATGCGACACACTTTTGGTGACGATTTCTACATCTGCAGGTTCCAGGTCATCATATCGATCATTACTGATTACTATTTACTTTTTTTTTACATTATAAGAATTATTAGATTAATGATCATCTTGTGTATGCATATTCCAACCAAGTATGTACAAAGATCTGATGTTTTCTTAAGATTATCTTAAACATACTTTTAAACAACTCAAAACGCATAAAGCGGACGACTTTGAAAGCCTGCATTTTAACTTTATTTGCTCGCTAGCTGTTTAGTACAAAAAAAAAAATGCAAGCTGTTGTATTCTTGTATTGTCTCCGACCCCACAACAAGCTGTTTGTAATGTAACTAGTAACTACACATACGTACGTACTATATGCCAGAACAGAAGAAATGAACGTATATATGGATTAATAATTAATATGAACAGGAAATTGGGTGGGAAGAGGAGTTTGCAAAAGTTGATACCAAAAAACTGCTGGCCTCATCGTATTTCCAACGAGATCCAACCCCACCAATGTTGTCTAAACACTTTGCAAACGTTTTTCAACATGCACCTCCATACACCATACCTTCTTGGTTCACTCAACAAGACCTCGACTACTTTGCATCCAAATATCATGCCACAGGATTCGCCGGACCATTTAATTATTATCGGTGTTTTGATCTGTACGTACCTACGCTATTAATTAATTAATCAACATATATATTTCATTCACACCTAGGTAAATGATATATATATATATATATATATATATATATATATATATATATATATAGGTAATAATTAATTAGCTAGGGTTTTTTTTGCAGAAACTGGGAGTTGTGTGCAGCATGGACAGGATCTAAGATAATGGTGCCGGTGAAATTTATAGTTGGGGAGTTAGATCTGGTGTATAGCTTTCCAGGAACAAAAGAGTACATACATGGCGGTGGATTCAAGGAATGGGTACCAGGATTGCAGAATGTTGTGGTGATCGAAGGAGCCGCTCATTTTATCAACCAAGAGAAACCACAAGAGATCAACAACCACATTTACGACTTCATTACCAAGTTCTAAGTTGCAACCAACTAAGCCATGCATCATTCAGTGTGTTTTGTTTGACATTTGGTCGACCTTATTTTCCTTGAAGAAAATGGTTAAAGGCTTAAGCCTTAAAGCACTAGTGAATAACATTATTTTGTGTGTATGTCATTGCCATGTTGATAAAATATAGTGGGATGGAGCGCTAGCTGTCATTCTTAGGTCATAGTCTTCTCTATATATAACCTCTCCCACTCTCGACTTTGTATGCAGTAAAAACAAAATATTGCAATGTGATTCTCTTATGAAAAAAAAAAAAACACCCATGTATTTTAAGCTTTAATTTTAGGAATAAAAGTTGCACTCTTCTATTGAAACCTTGTTTTTTATTACAACAAAACTAGTGGGAACGACGGTTACAAAATTAATTAAACTTTTTCATAGTAAAAACTCAAAATTATTAATCAATTATGTTAAATAAATTATTAATTAAGAGATATTTCTTTTTAGTTATATAAAATTATACTCGTTGATTTAAATACGTGACTTTATAATCTGTATTAATTTTTTTTTAAATTTCTATTCTAATGTTATTTAATTTAATGTAATTAAAGTGAGGAATTTAAAATTTAAATTTGAAATGGAGAATCAATAGGTTGACATGTGGCATCACATTAATTAGGAGTTTTAATAAGGTGACACATGGCAAAAGGATAATCAACTTATTCTTTTATTAGAATAGGGATTAAAGTATTTACAAAGTCAAACCTAACACATTTGTTTCAACTATCCTTCATTTCTTATCTTATGTATAACTATTGTTGTTGAATAGGGAATACCGTGTAAAACATCTACTGCTGTTGCACAGGTAGAATAAGGGTCAGTATGTAAAAAACCTGAAGACTTTAGAGATCATCGCAGTCATAGTTGTCGACTCATGACTCGAAAAGAATAATTTTCTACTCGTGACTCGACTCGTAAGAGTCATGATGTTAAAAAAAATTATATATAAAGATATAATAAACATAAAAATACATAGATATTTGTTGAATATTAATACATATTTACTAAAGATTACAAATTAACTAGTTAGAAGTTATTATGGGCGTGTTCGGCAAAATTAGCTGGTAGCGGATAGCTTGTAGCTTGTAACATTTTGTTAAACGCTACATGAAGTGGCATTCGGATTTGGAGCGTTTTGTTTAAACTGAACGCTAAAAGCTTATAGTGTCAAACAAAAATTTTTGTTCAAAACGGAGCGTTTTGTCAAACGCTGGAAGCTCTCAAATGCTCACGCCCTATATATATTTAAATAATTAACTTTTAATGCTTAATTCAAAAGATTTAGGTTATAAATCAATACATGTAGGGCTGTAAACGAACTGAACGTTCGGCGAACAGTTCGTGAACTGTTCGGCGGGAAGTTCGTTTATGTTCGTTTATTTAATAAATGAACGAATATGAACAAAAATTATCGTTCGTTTAGTTAAATGAACGAACATGAACAATGGTCTCGTTCGTTCATTTATGTTCGTGAACATTCATTTCTGATGTTCGTTTATATTCGTTTGTTTAAGTTTATTTATATTCATTTATATTCAAATTTTTTTATTATATTTCTATATTATATGTTCGTTTATGTTCATATATGTTCAATTGTTTTTTTTTATCTTTGTTCGTTTATGTTTGTTCGTTTATGTTCGTTTAGCATGTTCATGAACATAAACGAACGAACATGAACAAGTTAATTTGTTAAACGAACGAACATGAACATGAAAATCTCGTTCGTTTATCCGTTCATGTTCGTTTGTTGTTCGGGTAACTTAAACGAACGAACATGAACAAGCCATTGTTCATGTTCGTTTGGTTCGTTTACAGCCCTAAATACATGGCTATATCTTTGTGTTTCAGAAAGTCGTCAAAGTCACACGTCTATTGTTTGTATGATTAGCTTTTAATATATGTTTCACAAAAAAACCATTAAAACTACGGCCCAACTCAAATGAAGACTTGTTTACTCTAAATATTCAACCCCCTCCGCTCTCGCCTTTCAAGTTGTCATCGGCTCATCGCTGTCACCCTCACTTATCCTCTAAATCCACCATCTGTTGCTGGATGGAAGATGAAGTAGTAACCCTTCTTCATCCATCGAACCCATCATTGGGATTCTTGTTATGATATAAAACATCTACGCTACTACTCATGCTCTTCTTCTTCTTCTTCTCACTGTCATCATCCATTGGTTTACCCATCTGATCACGTGATTACCCATGAGATATATGACACGTCGGATTCACAGGTCAACTCGACTCGGTACGAGTCAGACAAGGACTCGTAAATTTTGACCGAGTCAGGCTTAAAACAGAGTCGCCTCTTTTTAGACTCATACAAGTCTAACAACTATGATCGCAGCTACAAAACATAATTTGGTTGACTGTTTAGATGTTGGAATAGCCCCTGCAACCTTCTAAACAAATAAGAAAGAAAACTAAGAGTTGTTCCCTGTTGTTGCTTACACGAAAAGAAAAAGAAAAAAGAAACAGATGGAGACTTTGTTTTCACACAAAAGCTGCTCTGGACTCAACAACTACACTTTATTGATCAAAACAAATGGCTATAAATAGCCTACTAAAAGCCCAACAGAAATAAACAATACCATCCTAAAAACTAGTCACTACTCCTAATGAAAAGGAGACTAGAATGAAAAGTACACCACGTTTTGATCTCTTGTTTTGAACTTGGTCAAACAACACTTACTCAAATACTAAATAAAACCAACAAAAGGCTAACTTTTTTGACTAAAGTCAGAATTAAACCCAACATTAGAAACACGGTTTAAAGTAACGATAGTTCTTGCAATTAAAACCTCCTACTCCATGCCAAAACCAGATCAAATAAATATAGCAACATGAATCATAAAAACCCATTCAACTCAATAAACATTTTGAAGAAATCCAGGTCCAAATCTCCAACTTCATTACCCAGAAAAAAGATGGATGTCAAAATAGCAAGTACACAAACAAGAAGTAAAGATATAATCAAGAACACAGGGAAAAAAACATGGGAATGGTGACTTAGTTTCTAAATCCCCTGCTGTTTCTTCTACCTCTGGCCTTCTCAAACTTCCTTCCCTTTGATCTCACATAAGGCTTGGTGTGGCTGTGTGGTACACCAGGAGCCTTACCAAAGTGCCTCACCGCTTCTCGTGAATTCTTTGGACCTCTAAGAAGAACCTAAAATAACCAAAACACACACATCATCAGAAACCAGAAACCTAACCCAACCATACCACAAAATATTCAACAAATAAAACTTGTTTATGGAAGGTCATCCATAAGGCATATGGCTACCCATGATTATAAACCATAAAGAGACAAAGATATCACCAAGCAAAAGGATATAACCAATGCCATGACCCTGTGCAAGACAGGTATAAGTAGCGGACTTCATGTTACTAAGCTTAGAGAAAAAAAAAAGGTTACAATAGCAAATGTGTATGTGTTAAAGATACACAAGTGTTTAATTTGTGCACATGTTTGCAATATCAGACAGTAAAAAAATGTGCATAAGAAAATAGGCAATTGTAGGTTGAGGATGCATATAGTTGTGAAAATTAAATGGCAGTGAGGATGTTTTAAGGCAAACCCCTTCAAGCACTAAGGACTGCCTTGTTTGGTTGATTGAAACAAAGAGTCATGTGCATGTGTGATAGTTCAAAATGCAACACAAGTAATGATTATCATAAAAAGGAAAAACAGACATCATAAGAAAAAGATGACACACCGTGTTCTGTCCAAGAGGAGCTCGAAGGGCCAGCTGATCAAATGTCAAACATTCTCCACCTGCCTTCTCAATCCTTGCCCTTGCAGTCTCAGTGAACCTCAGTGCAGTTACCTTCATACAAGGGATTTCATGCACCCTAACATCGTCTGTCACTGTGCCCACAATCACAGCAATCTTCTCATCCTACAGATACAAACATACCTCGAATCAAAAAGCCAGCAAGTTAATATATTACAACCATTTTAACACTATATTTTTCTAGTATTCTGTTATTCATTATTATAAGCAGTTCCATATAGTCCCTCTATTCAAAGAAAGGCGGTTGCATTGTTTGCAGGGAACAATATTACATTTCAACATCTAACTAATTTGTAGGGTAGATTTTTTTAGCAAAAATATTGGTAAACATAGCAAAGCACTTTCAAGATAGATGAAAACAGAATACTTATGGCACCAATATTACCACAAAATCAAGCCTTTTAATTAAAAAAAAAAAATATTAAGTGGTAACAAGCACCTTTCCAGACATGTAACGAATCAGACGAGAGAGAGATATCGGGGGTTTATTGACTTTGCTCATGAAGAGCCTCTTCAGTATCACAGCATTGAAGTTGCTTCCTGTTCTCCTTACCAAAAACCGGTAGAGCTGACCAAATAAGAAATAAGACAAAACGTTTAGATTTCGGCATCTTGGTTGAACGTGTGTATATGTAAATGTAAACAGGCGGAGAACTGCGCAATGTATTTGTATGAACCTTGACAAGGAGCTTCAGGTAGATGTCATCGGATCTAGGGGAGTTTCTTTTGGTTCTCTTGCTCTTCCCACCGGCAACAAGATCTATACCCTGGTATCATGACGCGAAAAAAACGCTTAAGAAAAAGAAAATTAAGAAACCTGTATGAAGATTAGGGTTTCGGCAAATGGACAATACCATAGCAGCGGCGGAGGATTTTGCAACCTAAGCAGAAATGTGGGAAAATTGAAAAACTAGGGTTTATGAACACGACGACATTAATAAGCGCCGCTCGGTATATAAATGAATAATGGGCTCTCAGTAGCCCAAGCTTAGGTTGTTAAATGGCCCGAGTAAGGTGCACAAAGAAACTTTGGTCCGTTTGGATTCAATTTTGAAATTGTTCGGGTTTTTGGGGACGGGTGCCACTAGGCTTGCACAAACCGGTTTTTTTTCTGAACCGGACCGGTTCAGAAAACCGGTTCGGTTCTGGTCAACTTAGTCAAAACCGGTTCACTCTTAAACCGGTTCGGTTCTAAACCGGTCCAGCCTCAAAATAATCCGAACATATGTAAACCGGTTCGGTTCTCTAGAAACCGGTTCAAAAAACCGGTCCGAAAACTGTTTCTTAAACCGGTTCAAAAAGGGTTCAAAACCGGTTCGACGGAAAAAAAAAATTCAATTATTTTTTTTTTTTTTAGGCTAATAATTGAAAAATAGGAATGGGTTTTTTTTTTGAATCTATTGCTTTTATTGTGTTTAACAAAAAAAAAAGGGGGGTCTCACTCTCACAGTAGGTTTTTTGGAAATGGGGTGAATTAGGAAGGCTTAGGTTTTTTGTAATATACACACTAACACACGTCCATATATATGCCAAAAGGTTTTTTTTTAATTTTTTTTTTGTTTCTTGCTTAATAATATACATATCTTTTGATGTATTAATTTTTTTTTTGTTTTAGATTTGATGTTTGTGTATATGTATAAAAACATAATGTATGTACAAAATTGTTCAACTTGAATCAACATATTTTTTGGAGCAATTTTCAACCTTTTTTTCATTTTTTTTTTGTTTTTTTATATTGGAAATACATAATACAACTTCAAACATAAAAACACAAAACATCCAAATTGTCAAACTAATACATCTTCAAATATAAAACATTGTTGTCGTCGTAGTCTTCAATCCAAGTCCGTAGTCATTGTATTTATTCGTCATCCGCCATGTCGTTGCGTAATCCTCTCTCATACTCGATCTCTTCTAGGGTGAGTGCCACCGACATTCCCATCGCTACTTCTTCCTCATGTACTCGTTGTTCGACATGCAACGATGTGTCTTCTAGTACTTCAATGTCTTGTATCCTTTCCACGCCATCAAGGTAGCATTTCAAGCAAATGCACACTTCCACCGACAAAGGGGTTAGTTTTGTTCTTCTTGGTGATATTACCCTGCCACTAACAGAAAAAGCCGATTCCGAAGCTACCGTAGAAGCTTGGGAGCTTAGTAGATCACGGGTCATAGCGGCTAGAATCGGAAATTGGGTTTCCTTTCCTTTCCACCAAGCCAAAATATCAAAATTTTCAAACTCTTGAATACACATTTGAGACAAGAAATCGGAACCAATGTACCTTCCGAGCTCGCTACTAGGGGTGTTAGACCGAGCTCGTTTGGAATTTTCATTCCTCAAAGTATTATAAAGCCTAATTGTTTCGTTATTTTGGTGAGAAGTGGATCCGGATTAATGATATGTGCAACACATCGACTATGAAAAAAAATACCATCGCAAATTGGTTTATATTTTAGTTTTAGTTGTCCAACCGCGACGGTGTTGTTTGAAGCATTATCAAAAGATATAGAAAAAATCTTTCCTTCAAGTTTATAAGTTTTGATCACACAATCTAAAATTTTAAATAAATTTCTACCGGTGTGCGGGTACTCAAACAATTCAAACGTAATCGTACGCTTCATCATTACCCAATTAGTTGGATTAATCCAATGAGCGGTAACACAAAGGTACGCATCCGGTGAACCGTGAGGAGCCGTCCAAACATCACAAGTTAAATTCACACCGGTTTCTAAAGATTGAAATCATAAAATCATTTCATTTTTTGCAAGTTTCCACATTTCAATACAATCACATCTAATAGAAGTACGACTCACATGGCAATATCGTGGTTGGAGAGTATCTTGGATAAGTGAAGTCAATCGTTTGTTGTCGAAGTGGTCAAAAGGCAAACATTCTTGAATCACGAACTTCGCCATCCTATCCCGAACTTTACCCAAATCGTAACTCCACAATGTTGCATCATTCGCCATTGTTGTTTGATTATGTCCCGGCCCAAATTTCACCGCGGGGCATCTTTTGGTCATATGAGTTTTCAATGTCGAATTCTCATCTTCATTAAAAAAAGCACCACATTTCTTGCATCGCGCTCTTTTTGTACCGTTCGACATTACACACAAATCATAGTTGCACCAAATAGCCGGATTTCTATTTGTTTCTTTGATGCTAACAACGGTAGGATTGTTTGATGAATCTCCAACACCAATGGAAGCCGAATCCATTGTTTGAATTAAGAGGGTTTTTTGAAGTAAGAGAGGTTTTTTGAGGAATTGTTAAGGTAAAGTGGAGACCTAAACATCTAATACATATATATACTATAAGGAATGGTTAATATGGTCAAAAAAGAGCCAAAATCGGGTCCTTATCAGCCTCAAACGGCTATATAGCCGTTAGGAAAAGACAAAAAAACGGTAACTCTCGAAAACCGGTTCATCACCGGTTCAAAACCGGATAAAAAAAACCGGTTCCAAACCGGTCTCAAGGGTAAAAAGGGCGAATTGGTCGGATCCGGTGGTTCGGTTCATACGCGATTCGGTTCTTAAGTGAACCGGTTCAGGCCTAAACCGGTTTCCGGTTCAGCGACCGATTCGGTTCCTGAACCGGTTTTTTTGCACACGCCTAGGTGCCACATAGTTTGGGTGTAAGTTACACGAATGCTCCTTATGGTTTAGCCTTACCGTTTGTTTTTGTTACATGAACAAAAACAAACAGTAGAGACCTTCTGAGTTAAAAAAATAAGTTAAGACCAAACGTGAAAATTACCCCAAACTATAGGGACCATTCGTGTAATTTACTCAATAGTTTGGTCATTTTTTGACCGGTCTCATGCAATCTCTTTGGGTCCATTTTACGGTCTTTGCATTCTCATTTTCAGTTCAAGTTCGGATTTTTTCCGTTCATCTTTGGCTTTTTCAATTTTACTTTTTTTCATATTCATAAAGAGTAGTATTCGGATTTTGATAATTTTATAAATGTCATGTTATGTTATTCGGATTTTGATAATTTTTTCAGTTGGTTGATTTTATAAATGTCATGTTATGTTATTCGGGTTTTGATAATTTTATAAAAAGTTTTTTATCCATAAGGTCGTCCGGTATGCATTCAATGAAGGCGTTTATGGTATACGTGGCCATGAACCACAACCGTGCACACCATCCCGGCGTGTCGTCGTGAGTCGTGGTCGTTATGGCTCGTGTTGGCTACGACGAGAGAGGACGCGAATAGGAAGGCTTGCTTTAATTTCATCCGTTCAACAGTCTAAATTTTGAATTTTTTAAATTTTATATATAGGACAATCTCCAGAAAAGTCTCAAAGTTTTGGGTCAGTTTATGATCTAGTCCTAAATTAAATTTCATTAACGAAAAATGATAGAAAACCGGCTATTGTAACCATTTTAACACTTTTTTACCTTTTCAATAGGTAACTGATGAGGTGGTGCGCCAAATGGACTTATGGGCCGAGGTGGCAGATGATGAGGTGGCACGCCAAATGGACTTATGGGCCGAGGTGGCAGGTGATATGGCTGCCTTTCCTTTAGAATTTAAAAAATCATAATTATTTGAGAAAAAAATAAGGACGGAGACTCAAACTCTTAACCTCCCACTCATAACCATACACTTTATCATGTGAGATAGAAAAATTTATTGATTTCTTTCCTTAAAATTTGCTTATAAAGGCTTATAAATCTCTTCTTCCTCACAACTCCTAACAAATATCGCCATTACCGACTCACCAAGGTTTTCTAGGAATCACTAAATCTCCAACCTTAATTTCTAATCCGCACTTAAGAAAAAATTGTTGAAAACATTCGAGATCATTTTTTCTCTTAAGCATTTCTTCTTCTCCTCTATCGATACCCGAAAAACAATTTGCTGGTTTCTCTAACCTTCTTCAAAAACGAAATTTTGATTCCAGATCTGCAGCAGGAGGAGTTGTGGCGGACTTTGTTCTAACCAAATAAAAGAAAGGGAGGAGTTGCGACGACATGTAGATCTACAAACTCGTTGGAGTACTCGACGGGTTCCGCCAATGTGGATTTTCAAACCAGAACAGAGGTGGGGTGGTCAACTTTTGAACCAAAATGAATTTTCCGATGACATATTTGCCAGAATTGAGATGAGGGACTTGGGGATAGGAGAAAGACCGAGGGAAGAAGAAAGGTCATGGACTAATGTTGACCTTGTTATTAAGAATTAATTATTAAGACTTTATAAATACAATTGAATAAATAATAACAAAAATGCTTCCGGTTCATATGGTGAGGTGTGTGGTTTAGGCGTATTCCCCCCCCCCCCTCTCTCCTAAAAATCTGATTTTAAATCCTAAAGAAAGAGTCTGCCACATCACTTGCCACCTCAACCCAAAAGTCCATTTGGCGCGCCACCTCATCAGTTACCTGCTAAAAAGGTAAAAAAGGGTTAAAGTGGTTACAATAGTCGGTTTCCTGTCCTTTTTCGTTAATTAAATTTAATATAGGACTAGATCATAAACTACTAGCCCAAAACTTTGAGACTTTTCTGAAGATTTTCCTTATATATATATATATATATATATATATATATATATATATATATATATATATTGTTAGCTTAGGTGTCAAAGCCCATAACTATACTTGGTATAAACTTGAATTGATAGTAGCACAGTCCTTTTGGGTTGCCCTCAAACCTAGCAACTAGACATCATGACTTTGGAGAGAGAGGGAGAGAGAGGTTTATTTATTATTTGAGTAGTAAATTGAAATAAATGATTTATTAATGTATTATAAAAATAATATATTAATTAGAAATAATATTATTTAATTAATAATTAATCAAAAATTAATTAGAATTAATTCTGAGATTAATTATGAGATTAATTGGATTGATTAAAAGTGCATGGATTGTTTGGTTATTTATTGAAAGTTGAGGAAAGAAGCCCAATGACCTCATTGGATGAGGTAGACG